ATTTGTCTACCCGACCTGGATTTTTCAGGTCGGGTCGGGTCGGGTCACAGGTTGACCTGACCTGATTCGGAGCTCTAATTGTAATAATCTTTATGCTTGGATTTTTTGAGATAGGAGTTAACGCAAGTCGTCTCATTATTGAAAAATCGAAACGAAAGTTGGAAGATTATGATATTGATACAATAGGCGTAAATAATAGAGTTATATTGGCAGGGATTTTACAAAATAGATTAGATAAAGAAACGTTAGAACAAAATTGTAATTATTACATTTATTCAAAACTTACCTTTTTGAACCAAGATATATCAAATACTGAAACTGCCAGCACTAATTCAGATTTAAAACAAGTTTTAGCTTGTACTTTGGATTTTTTATTGCCAAGTGGATAGGCTTTGAAAGAAAGGCAAAAATTTGGTAAAAAAGGAGGGGGAAGCGAATAAGTAAACATGTGATTCCATATCTTGAAGTGTATTTTTTGGCTGAAGATATTAATAAAAGTGGAAAATATACAGCTCAAGAAATGTATAATAAACTAAAAGAACTAGTAGAAGAAGAAATTTTAGAAGCGGAGAAAATTCCAAAAGTTTCTACAGTTAGTAATTAGATAACTTGATATACACAAGCCTATCGTAAAGTATAAGCTCAACGAGCTTTAGTGCAGATTAATGGTGTATTAAAAACCCTAAAAATTTAATAAATAAACATAACAATACATTATTTTCGTAAAATAAAAGTTCGAAATGTTGAAATTACAAATTTACTTGTTATATTTATAGGTGAGAATCTGGCGTTATATCAAATAAAAGTCTAAAGTTTTATTTACAATATAATGTGAAAATACAAAAAAATATGCATATAGTATTTTATTATTAGCATATTTAATATGATGCCCGTGTTGTACAAAATGATGGCTCTAGCTTAATTAAAAAAAGCTAATTAGGATTAGTTTATTATATAATTATATGATCAGCGCCCCAATTTCGAATAGTAGTTTTCTCTACTTTGTTTACAGATTACGAATTAAGTAAAAAATCTCATTAACTCAAAACAAAAAGAAACTTGCATTTTAAAGAATTTGAATTGGATCAGTTGACCTGAAAGAGTTAGGCTTTGAAGGAATTCTGAGTCATATACAGTGGCTTCCAAAAGAAACGCAAGTAGCATTGCTTGCCTTTAATTGCCTGTAACTCACTGTGCACGAATGCT